TGGTCTTAAACTCCTGACCTCATGATCTGCCCACCTCGGCCTCCCAAAGTGCTGGGATTACAGGGGTGAGCCACCATGCCCAGGTGAATTTTATTTCATCTCAATAAAAATCCAAATACAATTTTAGGAAGTATATATTAAGAATTTGATAATTCAAGAAGGAGATGTTAAGAAAAAAAAAGGAAAAAGTTTGATAAAAGGAACTGCAAGAGTATCACAAATTTTTCATTGTTTCTTTAGTACGCTGTAGATTTCTTTTTATAATTATGTTGGCCAGGCATGATGACTCACACCTGTAATCCCAGCACTTTGGGAGGCTGAAGTGGCGGAGCATTTGAGGCTAGGAGTTCAAGACCAGCCTGGCCAACATGGCGAAACCCCATCTCTACTAAAAATACAATAATTAGGTGGGTGTGGTGACATGCACCTGTAATCTCTGCTACTGGGGAACTTAGGCAGGAGAATCACATGAACCTGGGAGGCAGGTTGCAGTTAGCCAAGATTGTGCCACTGCACTCTAGCCTGGGCGACAGCGTGATACTCCGTCTCAAAAAAAGAAAAATGTAAGTATTTTTAGTTGTGATAAATTATATTTTCTTATGTTATATTACAGGTTTTTTCCTTAAAAATGAAACCTTTCTAACCTTTTAGTGATCAGGCATTATGATCTTTGAAAATTTTTGTTTGCGTATCTTGGAAGTAATTGTAATTTTTGTCATTTCTTCCCCTTTATTGTTTAGTCCAAAAGAAACTCTTCCTTCAAAACCTGTGAAGAAAGAGAAGGAACAGAGGACACGTCACTTACTCACAGACCTCCCTCTCCCTCCAGAGCTCCCTGGTGGAGATCTGTCTCCCCCAGACTCTCCAGAACCAAAGGCAATTACACCACCTCAGCAACCATATAAAAAGAGACCAAAGTGAGTTTTTGGAGGAGTCTATCTTTCATGATAGTTTTCTTCCTTCCTTTTGAACTAAATATCTCATGTTTCTTCTGTAACCCACACCAGTAAGATCATAGAAATTTGGTCCTAAAGTATACTTTTTATTTTATTTTAATGGAAAAAAGCCTTCGTTGGAGACCTGGTCATTCATCTGTGCCCTCAGATACCCAGCTATGTTTTTAGAATGACAGTAAATTCCCAAATCCAGATATACTATGAACATTTATCTCATATCTTTTTTATTCATAATATTTAGACTAAGGAAGAATACAAGCAAGAATACAAGCTTTTAAAATTCAGGATGTGTCAGTCATATATACATTAATGAAAAATTAATAGATGTGGGATTTTTTTTCCCTGAACACATATGAATTGCCATGCCATAAATATAGTATAATCTGGGTCTAATCTGATTGTTAGCATACTTATTGAGCACATATTATTGCTATAGTTTTTTTTCTTTGTTTTTATTGCCATAGTTTTATATTTTATTTTCATAGTAGCCTTAGCATGCAGCAATTAATTCCGCCCCCCCCCCCCCCCCTTTTTTTGAGATGGAGTTTTGTTCTTGCCCAGGCTGCAGTGCAGTGATGTGATCTTGGCTCAACGAAACCTCTGCCTCGTGGGTTCAAGCGATTCTCCTGCCTCAGGCTCCTTAGTAACTGGGATCACAGGCGTGCACCACCACGCCCGGCTAATTTTGTATTTTCATTAGAGACAGATTTCTCTACATTGGTCAGGCTGGTCTCGAACTCCTGACCTCAAGTGATCTGCCCACCTTGGCCTCCCAAAGTGTTGGATTATAGGCATGAGCCACTGTGCCCTGCAACTTCCCATTTTATAATTGAAGCCATACCTAAGAGAGGTCAGAAAGCAAACAGCGAATCTATTATTTCATATTATGTCTTCCTAAGGCTCCACCCTGTGTCTTAGCCACTGTGAGAGACTGTTTTCTTTTTTTTTGAGATGGAGTCTCTGTCGCCCAGGCTGGAGTGCAGTGGTGTGATATTGGCTCATTGCCTCCACCTCCTGGGTTGAAATGATTTTCTTGCCTCAGCCTCCTGAGTA